TGCAGCAACAGGTGTTTTCAGCTGCTGGGGCACCTGCCACAGCCCAGAAGCCAGCAGTTTGCAGACCGGTGGTTGGGAACCACTGCTCTCTATGACAGGAATAGATTCTATGCCAGCAGCAGCTCAGCATCTAGAGAGTATGTTCATGGACTGGGTGAGGGCAAGGCCATTAGATCAGAGAGTGCAGACTGAATAGCAGCTAACCCGTATGTGGAGGGGAAGGATTGCTGTCACTATTCAAGTACAGAGACTAGAAGTGTGACCAAAGGGCTACCAACGTCCCATACAAAAGTGATGTGTGCCTCATTGTATAAAGCCTGTTAATTGAGTTTGTAGCTGTCAGCTGGCCAATTTTGCACAGCTTAGTAAAATTTAACACAATTAGAAAGTGCATCTTCTACAGGGAGGTCAATAAAATTATGAAGAAGTACAGATATAAAATTATAAAAATACTAACACATATTGCTAGAATTACAGGACATAACATGTAATGCAGCCATATATTTCTCTTTAGAAGAAAGGTATTTCTTTGCCTCTGGCAGTTTGCAACCAAAATACCGAACAAAATGTGTTAATACCTGTTTCTGCCATTTCATGTAATGTTATCATTGAATAAGGAGGTTCCTGGTCACTGAAAGACAAATGTTACATTGGTCAAAGTTGCTGTACCACTATAACCACATACTTAGAATTAAGTTCAATGAAAAGAGGCATGTACTGGATTAATTTTTTGGAAAAAAGAAAGAAGTTATACACACTGTAAACTTTTAATGTTCTATTTGCATCTGAAATACAGCTGCGTAGTGCTTTGTACTCAGGCTAAAAGTTACCTTTTGCATCTCCAGAATAGCTGATAAACAAGATACACAGTGATCTGCATCCCCAGGTTTGAGATCTAGAGCCCCTAAAGATTAAAACTATACATTGTAAAGTGTTCCTGAAAGCATACAGTCTGAGGGTACGTCTAGACTACATGCCTCTGTCGCCAGAGGCATGTAGATTAGGCTACCAGACATAGGAAAATGAAGCGGCATTTTAAATAATCGCCGCTTCATTTAAATTTACATGGCTGCCGCGCTGAGCCGACAAACAGCTGATCAGCTGTTT